TCAGTGCGGGTATCATGGGCGGAGTCGCTGGCGCAAAATCGCTGAGGTAATGCAGCTCCGTCTTTGTGGTGGGCGTGCTCGACTGCGGCACACAGCTGACTGTGAGCAGATGGCGACAGTCGATGTGACAACGCACCGGACAGTCGCGACAGCGCAATCCAAGTGAACCGAAGCGAATGCTGCAAGACAATGAATGAATACATATTAATTTATTTAAAGATTCGTTTAATCGGAGTGGTTAACTGTACCGCTTCTGGCATTGGACACAGTTGTCGCCGCGCAAGAACGTCTTCTGGCTGAAGCTGTGCTTTCGCATCATCAGGCGATTCTGCTGAGCCGGCGACATCCCCATAGCCATAGCATTGAGCGGCGTTAGTGGCGGCGCCGTGGGCTCCTTGACGGCCGAACGACGTCGCGGCGTTGAGGTTGACTGAGCATCGGCATTGCGGTCCTGAGCCACAATCACAGGCAGCGACTCAATGGTCGATTCGGCACGTATGACTCCTTGGCCATCCTGCGGTATGGTCACCTTGGTGGTGGCGCAGAAGCGCTCTGCGCCCTGGCCGACGTCCAGTGTGTGGTGATCGACATGTCCCGAGCGACGCGTTGTTGTGGTGGTGGTCGTGGTGGCGGTGCCAATTGTCGGTGTACCCAAATTGCTGCTGTTGTGGCCAGTGCTCAGACGGGAACGCTTGTTGCCCACACATGGCACCGGATTTTTGGGCAAAGATGGACGGTGTTCGCGCCATGACTTGGAGCGACGCACATCGAGGAAGTCGTCCTCGGAATGCGTGATAGATAAATCGGAGAGCAAAGAGCCCGTGGAATTTATGTCGCCATACGACTTGTCCTCATGCAAGGTATTTAGGGATTTACGTTTGCGCGTCGACTCCGGATGCATAGTATTTAGGAACGCCAGCTTATCGCGCGTTTCATTGTTCAGGTTGCGTTCGTGGCGCAGTAAATCGGCTACGGCCATTATCTTACTTTCCATGGCATCGCGTTCATGCTCCGCTTGTCGGCGCGCTTTGATCTCCGTGTCAATAATACGGCGCGCGTGATACAGTTTGCCCTCCAGGTCACCCATTTTGGCCAGAGACTTGTCCAGTTCCGTTTGAAGGCGCGCATTCTGAATGGCGAAGCCGTTGCATTTCTCGTGGTACTGTTCAAACATGCGCAGGAAGCTGAGGAATTCTGAGCGAATATAAAGGATTCCGATTTTAGTTAGTTTCTCTTCTTTTTTTTATTTCTGTCACGTCAACTCACCCTCCTCGGCTGTGCCTTCGGTCAGCACCTGCATACAGCGTCGCAGATCGTCAAACGACGCCAGCACGGAGAGCGTCATTTTGGTTGGGTGCGCGCCAATTCGACTGCAGCAATTTAAAAGTAAATATTATATTGCTGCAGTGTTTTCAATTACTTAAATAGTCCACTTTCACTATTATTTCTCCAATTCCTTTTAATTTGATCTTATTTACAACAATAAGTACAGCAAAGAGGAAGCACGCTGCAAAGGACGCGACTCTTTTCGATGAAGTGCCGTTGTTTCAAATTTCGATGTAGGTATGTGCACTAAGCGATATTTCCACTATCGTATACGATGACTTATCGATAGTTGAATATTCGATTAACACAATAAAAACTATTTGCTTACCTTAAAAATAAATATAATTTTGTTTAACTTCTTTATTATTAACTGATTTTAAATAAAGTGACAAATTATAGACAGGTAATATTGTTATTAAAGAACTATAATTGTTATGCCCAATTCGGAAGTACCATCACTTATTATGGTATTTAATTATCGTTTTTTAGTACGATTGTTTTTAGTTCCCACTAAATACAATTATTTTGCCGCTTTCAGCAATTCAGCAATCTGTGAATATGTCGGTCGCCTCGCCATCTAATCCTGCTCTTGCATTGCAAAATAAACGCTGGAACGGTCTGCGAAATGTCTTGGAGCGTGAGGGTCTATTTTGCAAGGATGACTTTACTCCATCACCAGATAATCTGGAATTCCTACAAACAAAATGCAAAGTGCTAGTCATTGGAGCCGGCGGTTTGGGCTGCGAGCTCCTTAAAGATTTGGCATTGATGGGCTTTGGTGATTTGCATGTAATTGACATGGACACCATCGAACTGTCCAATCTGAATCGACAGTTTCTGTTCCGTCGCACAGATCTCGGTTCATCCAAGGCAGAATGCGCCGCGCGCTTTATTAACAATCGCGTGCCCACATGCAAGGTGACGCCTCACTTTGCAAAGATTCAGGACTTTGACGAGTCATTCTACCAGCAGTTTCACATTATTGTTTGCGGCTTGGACTCGATTGTGGCGCGCCGCTGGATCAATGGTATGTTGCTCTCCATGCTGAGATACGAAGAGGACAACAGCCTGGATGTCTCCTCGATTATACCAATGATTGATGGTGGCACTGAGGGATTTAAAGGCAATGCTCGTGTCATATTGCCCGGTTACACAGCCTGCATCGAATGCACCTTGGATCTCTTCCCGCCACAGGTCAACTATCCACTGTGCACGATCGCCAATACGCCTCGTCTGCCAGAGCATTGCATTGAGTATGTAAAGATCATACAATGGGACAAGGAGAATCCCTTCAACGCACCGCTGGATGGGGATGATCCACAGCACATTGGTTGGATATACGAGCGTGCCCAGGAGCGCGCCAATCAGTTCAATATAACCGGCATCACTTATCGCCTGGTCCAGGGCGTCATCAAGCACATTATCCCGGCAGTGGCCAGCACCAATGCGGTTATAGCCGCTGCCTGTGCCCTGGAGGTGTTTAAGCTGGCCACTAGCTGCTACGATAGCATGGCCAACTACTTTAACTTCAACGATTTGGATGGCATTTACTCCTACACCTATGAGGCGGAGAAGTCGGATAACTGTTTGGCCTGCAGCAATACGCCGCAATTGCTGAATATCGAGGATCCCAATACGACAACCTTGGAGGATGTCATCAAGCAGCTCTGCGAACTGCCGCGTTTCCAACTCAAGAGCCCAGCTCTTACCACCATCATGGCAGATGGCAAGCAACGCACTCTCTACATGGCCAATGTGAAGAGCATCGAAGAGGCTACGCGTAAGAATTTGACACAGTCGCTAGGCGAGCTGGGTCTGCAGGATGGTCAGCAGCTGACTATCACAGATGCCACATCGCCGACGGCGATGACGCTGCAGCTAAAATATCAAGCAAATGAGATTGAAATGTTATAAACTATATACTGAATATATAATATTTAAATCGAACTGCACGCAACAGTAATGCTGTTTGTATCGATGTTTGAAGCCATCGCGTGGAGCCACTATCAATGGAGTTCTAGCTCTAAGCAACAGGTTGCTCAAATAAAATCCATACTTTTTGAATACCAAATAGCGCAGCTATAAAACAAACAGAAATTCACTCGCCATGCAAAAAACAGTCTTCTAAACTAACAGGCCAATCGATAGCATCGATATTTTAAAAAAATAATCCTTTAAAGAAACATTCCAAATCGTATTTTAACAACATATAGGAAAGTGTAATTCCATTATAAAAGCAATCGCATAGTTGTTTGTCCACAACTAAAAATTAATTAACATTTACTCATATCTAATATGAATTTCTTGCCAGTGAAGCCCTTAAAGTTTAGCGCTGCAGCAGCTGCATCCTTAAACTTCTCCAGCGGAACCATTTCGTGCGTAGGCGCCACGAACTTGCCCTCCTCCATCAGCTTGCAAAGCTCCTGAAACATTTGCTTGCGCTCGGGTGCATTGTAGTTCTCCTTGGACCAGCGCGTCATCCAGAAGCCTCGGAATGCAATGTCTTTAAAGATAAGTGGTCCCGTGGCAACGGTCACTGGCTCCCGAGACATGCCTCCATAGGTGACCATAACGCCGCGATCGTTCAAGTGACGCGACACCTCTGTGGCACTCTTACCGCCCACACAGTTGAGAGCGAGCTGGGGACGCTTGATTTTGCCCGACTTGAATATGTCGCTGGTGCGAATCTCGTCCTCTGTCAGCACAGCGGTGGCGCCCAGACTTTGCAACAGTTTCTTCAGTTCATCAATCTCTGGGCGATTGCGCACAATGCCCACGCTATTGATGCCCCAGGCGCGACAGAGCTGATGCACAGCTTGACCTACGGCGCTGTTGGCACCATTCTGTATGACGGTATCACCAGGCGATAGTTTCACAAAGTCCTTGAGCATGCGATAGGCGGTGCAGGGATTCACAGTGATGGTCGCCGCCTCTGCCAGGCCGACTTTATTTGAAATGCCAAGCAAATGCTCTTCTTTGTAGACGGCGTGCGTTGTCCAGGTGCCCAGGCCGGAAGCCAGTGGCACCACATGCGTCCCCGGTTGTAGGCTCTTCACCTCCTCGCCCACACAGACAACCTTGCCCACAAACTCATTGCCGGCTATGGCTGGAAACTTTGGCTTCACCGGATATTTGCCTGCAGTTCAGAAATTTGTTTATATAAGAGGTATATAATATATGTATCAATGGAAATTTTAAACCATATAGACCTACCCTGTATAGTGTTGATGTCAGCGGGATTGATGGGTGCTGCCAGAATTTGGACTAAAACTTGCTTGTCTGTGGGATCAGAGAGCTTATCCTCGACCAGTTTTAGCACATCCTGCGGTTCGCCGTGCTGTGTGTACTTGAGTGATTTGGCCACTACAGACATATGCCGGCATAGTAGAGAAGGTCTTGCGAAGGAAGGTAGTGTTCGACGCAACATGTTTTTTCTTTTTTAATATTAATCACTAGTAATTTTACTAAACTCAACGAACAACAAAAACTAAGATGATTTTGTTTTGTTTGTCAGCTTCGTTGAACCGTTTTCAGTAAACTGCGTTAGAATGTTCTTGTTTTCCTGTTGTAAGCTTAATTTATCGATATTTTTTTAATATTGAAAATGAATTGAAACTAGTATATTCACGAAAAAATGAAATGTATAGATTTTCAAAACATATAACATTAGCTTTTTGATTATTTCAGTTGCCTTTATCAAGGTTTTTAAATTTATAATAATATTGTTTTAAAACATTATTTAAAAAAATACTGTCCATTAATTAGTGTGACCGCACTGCATTGCTACCGTTGACTGCTTGGCGCCCTGAAGCTTTGAAATTTCAAAGTTGAAAAGTCATCGACGTCATGTCGTATGCTAATTGCATTGTGCGGGCAACCACGCAACTTCCTGTTTCCTTTTCCGTAGTTCGTCTGTACAGTGCAGGTGTTTTATTTGCAGTCACCCCCACATATTTAATATTAAATTACCATATAAATGCAATTTATGGGCGGGGCAGTAAATGGCTGTTGTCCAATTTTTTAATAGGTGGTGGATATATTTTTAGATTAGTAACATTTGTATTGTTTGCGGTAATTGTTTGTTTTTCTCTTTTTTTGTGTAAGCAACAACAGCTTTGCAAAATAAACAGAAATCAATAACTATGGGACGTACAGACAGACGCCAAGCAAAGAAAACTTCACATCTAAAACCCTACTCCGGACCGCCTACTTCGGCCACTGCCATAATTATTATACATGCCATTGTTGCTGTACAGAGAATGGGTATATTAGCTTTGTCATTTGCTTGGTTACCTATACTAAATATAAATACAATATATCAAATCGTAACTCTTAATCTCTAGCTAGAATCTAAAATAACGTTAGAGAGAGACCTATATAAATATTTTTTAACTGAATCTTCATAGGCGTATCATAAGTATACACCTAATTAACTGGTATTTGAGCTGTCGGCTATAGGGAACATTGCATTTTTTTTATTTGTACTTACTGTGGCGCTAAAAGACGTTGCCCGGGGCTCTCATGAAGCAATCAAACATCGCCGTCGCCATCGCCGCCGTCGTCGTCGTCACAGGACCCCCTTGTCCAACAGCACGGAAACGAAAAATCCAATAAAAATATAAATGTATGTGAGAAATATTCGTGGTTGGTCGCGTGCCGCTGTGGCATGCGAGCAGCGGCACAGCGCCACAGTGCCGCAGCGAGGGAGCAGCTGTCTGGGCTTAGTTAATGTTTAGCAGTCGACGCTCGCAGTTCCGTACACTGAGCTCCTTCAGTATGTCCACACGCCAGCCACTCAATCCGCGTGCCAATGTTTTCATACTGGTCAATCTGGGCTGTGAGGCGCTCTACGTAATTGACCAGCGTCTGAAGGCTCAACAAATTGCGGCCGACAAGTCGCTTCAAGGTTACTAAGACTGTCCGCCTTTAATTGAGCTCCAATTAATTAGTTTTTATTTTCTATTTTGATTCATTGCAGTCATACACGATGTGACGTCGGTGCTATTGGAGCCCAAGTTCATTGAGTCACTCATCAATGGGTCCATGCACAGCAATGCCCAGCTGCTGACAGCGGATCACTGCAAGTTTATGCTGAACGACATTGCCACCTGTTCGCTGATGCGTCTGGACGAGACGTCCATGGAGAAGCTCTGGAATCTGATGACCATGGTGTATAAATGGCAGCTCTTTGTCTCGCGGCACCAGCATCATCTGCTGGACATAACGTTCCGGCATTTGGATGCCATTAGTCGACTATATCCGGATGCGAAGCGACATATGCTCATCGATTACACCAAGAATACGTTACTGGACTTCTGGAATGCCTGCGGCGAGGAGCACCAGCTGTCCATTTACCGCACCAACAAGGCGTGGCTGGAGTGCTTCAATACTAAGATCTCTTTGCTCATCCGGCTGGGCTTTCAGGCCATGGACGGCAGTTTTCTGACCCCTACAGATCAGAGCCACTACGAGGACTATGCCCAATGCATTGGCGACAATATCTACATGAAGAACAATGAATTGATGCAGCAGCAGCAGCAGCGCGAACCGAATCGCATAGATCAACTGGCAGCGCAGCTGAGTATTAATCAAACGCAACCCGCAACTGGCGAGGATTTGCAGCCCATGGATGCCGGCCAAGTCCAGAAGCAGTTTGAACAAACATTCTCTAACATTCTGTTCGCGGACATGGATAATAATGCGGAGGGGGCAGCAACATCGCAGACGCAGCGCAGCCCCAACGCCTCTGGCTGTGAATTTGTGCAGCTGCTGACTGCGAGCACCAAGGCGGATGAGGTGGTGCCCACGGCGACCCGCAGTACTGGAGTGCTCAATCAGCAATTGATCGATTTGTATAGCAAAATGCATTGAAGCACCTGTGTGAAAAAGAGAACATGGCGATTTGACAGAGCGCCATCTAGCGTGCAAAGAGAGTGAGCGCATATGATGCATAATTAAAAAATATTGTATTTGTTTGTAAAATAATTACAAAAAGTGTTTTTTTTTTTCTTGCTTTGTTTTTGTTTCTGCAGTTTCGAAGACATTGGTGATCCAACAACATTACAAAAATTTTGAGCTTGCGACCTGGCTTGATAGTTTTTGTTTTGAATCAGAGCTGTGCTGTCCAAAATATTTTCTGTCAATCATTTAGTGTGCGATTCTTCTTTTAGCTGTTTGCAAAACAATTACACAAACTGTTTCAATCAAGTTGTTGAAAATATAAATTCACAAGTAGATATATAAATATTTAAAAATCGTGTTGTGTGTGTTTTGCATGCCAATTAAAATCAACAATTGCCGTAGTTGCCAAAAATGTTGGAAACTTATGGCAACAAATTATAGTTAGGGATAATTACTGCTTGTTCGTCCAGATATATATCAATATATAAATAGACATATATCAATATAAATGTAGTAGTTCGTCTTGTGGAGATGGTGGGATGGCGGGTTGCGAGGCAGTCAGTGCATTGTGTCCCAGACACATTACATTTTCGCCTTTAGGGGCACCGCATCCACCATGATATGCAACGCCATTTTGAGGCACTCCTCGGCGGAGCTGATCTGGGCGCAGGGAAAAGCATCAGCGTTTTGCGTCAGAAAATCACAGTACTTCTGATAATTGTTCAATGCAAATTCGTAGTTGTATGCGCCCAACAGCTTTAAGTCCGTGTCGTTTGAGACCAGCGGCACCGATGCCTTGAACGGCAAATTTCTGTACTTTGCATAGTCCAATTCGCAAGCTTCGCACTTGCAGTTGAAGCGATACTGCATGGACAGTGTCTCCTGACGTTGTTTCTTGCCGAAGACTGCGAAATGCGCGCTGCAACAAAAAATACATATTTTGATCAAATAAAGTATAACGATCGATTATAGAGTTGTCTCTCCTACCCGTAGTTGTCGTAAAGCACACCGCCGGCTTTGATGGGCCGCAGCACAAACAAATAGGCCTTGACGCCTTCGTAGATGCGCAGCGTGTTGGGTGCACACGAGTGATTGAGCAGGGAGAGAAACGCATAGGCGCCGGATGAATGCGACTGGTCGTCCTTGGTCTCGTTCGCCTGTTCGACAAGATCAATGCCATGCATATTCGATGGTGATGTTTGTAAATGTCTAAAAAGTAGATCCGTAAAGAAGTTGCGCCCCTCCTCGCCGCCGAGATACTCCTTGAGCGGCGTGTATTCCATGATGAAGTGCTTGAGGACGGCGCACACAACCGACCGCTGAAAGAGATCCGAAACGGACCGTAAGTGCTGATTCGTTACCAGACCGTGTATGGCCCGATAATGTTCCTGCGGTGTCAGCTGCGTATAGTCCAGATCGAATACGGATTTGTGCTGATTCTGCGGCTGCTCGCAGAACGCCATCAGCTCTTCAATGCTGCCGTAGAGATCCAAGGCGCTCAGCGTAGTGCGCAATGCAATGCAATGGATTTTGTTGAACATGCGATGCAATAGGTCGATAATGGGGCACTCGTATTTATGAAAAGTGCTATTGGCGCGCTTCTTGCACTCCTCGGAGCAGAACATGACGGAACAGCAGTTATCGCAGGGTATGAGCGTCAGATAGCGCTCCTCTTTGCAGTTGGAGCATCTTATGTATCGCATGGGCGCCAGTAGCGATGAGCAGAAGGGCTCCTCAGTGGCAACGATGTCGCCGACAACCAAATCTTGTGTGGTCACTATAAACCGGCCCTCATCCGGGGTCTCGCGCATCTCCAAGCAGTTGGCTATGAATGGCACTTGCGGGTGTGCATCGAAGCTCATCTTAAAATTGTACGGCACAATGTCCGGCGGCTGTTGCTGCACCAACTGCTGGCAGTCGCGCTCTCGCTTGTCCAGCTTATGACGCAGTCGTTCCGGATAGTTTGCCTTGCGCGCCAGCTCAATGTTGGCCAAGCACTCACGATAGCGCTTCCATTCGAAAAATACTGCCGACCTATTAGCATATCCAATGGACAAATTCTCCGAGTTGGGCTCCGCATAGCAAATGCTTTTGTTATACAATTCGAGTGCCTGTGGCGAGAGGAATTTTTGATTATTTGTGTACTTATCGGCGAAGAGTATTTTTGTTGGTATAATTAAGTGCAATTCGGATAAAACTAATATTTATAATAACAATAGGTCGCAAAAATACTTGCCTGAAAGTATTTTCTATTCTTTAGGGAGAACTGCTCGTTGCCAAGCATGCGAAATTCGACACTGCGCTTGTTGCATTTACTTTCGCGCAACGTTACATTTAGGAATATTTTTTCCATGTACTTGAAGTCAATCAATGCATGCTCCACGAAGTTCACTTTCGAGTGGTTCTCTTTGAGCTCATTGAATTTGCCGGATATAATGCCAATCAGTTTCCAGTCGTTGAGCTTTTTGATCAGATCGTCGCTTACGTCGTATACATCCATTGTTGTTATTGTGTTTCAATTTATCCTCGAGCTGCACATATATGCATATACACACTCACACTCAGACTGGGCCAAGCCACTTGGTCTAGTCGTCGTCCTCCTCGCCGTGTTTTGCCTGCTTGCAAGTCGCGTGTGTTGCGTCGCCGCCGCCGCTTCGCTGCCGCTGCCGCCGCCTGTTTTTTCACCAACAAAATATGTTTGTGTTTCTGTGTGTTTGTGTCACGCAACTATATAGTTGCGTTTATGGATGGCGTTAAAATGCAATTTCACAAAAAATTTCGAGAAGTTTACTGCAAATTTATTTGCTATGCGCCAATCCTGATCAAAAATTTAGTTTCGTTGGTTCTTTTTTTTTTTTGGCGAATTCAGGTGCAGTGTGACCGTGTAGTGGGAGTCCAAAAATACATAGTTCGCATGTCAATAATACTAGCTATCACGCGGTAAGAAAAATTGCTAAAGCTGAAGCAGCGCCATCTGTCGACTGCACCTAAAGATTTCTTATTTCTAAAATGTTCCGACATGAAAATATGGAGGTTATTTTTGATTCTTACCAAAAATTCACCTACTCTTCAAGTCAATCTCAAAATTAATTTAGTCAACATGCGAAATCATTTATTTAATTTCCTTTCACAATCATATAATTAATTTATTTCTTCCTTTTACTTCTCTTCGCACCATTCGTTCTCCTTGCGTACCTGCTCCTCCTCAGCAGGAGTAAAGTCGTTGGCAATGGCAAACGTCTCACGAATGTCCTGAAGCGATTTGCCTTTGATCATATTGGCGCAAGTCTTGCAAGTAACATCCAGTAAACCTTGAATGTTTAAATAATTGGCTGCCAGAATGAGCTCGAACAAGGTGCCTTGGTCGACTTTTAGGAAGTCAGCGTCCCAAGATGAAATATCGTCGGTGCGTTTCTCCTTATTTTCATCCTCCTGTGCCTGCTGCGGATCGTCCTGGGCGTGGTAGGTCGCCCAATGGAGTACCTTGCGCAGAATTGCCGAGTTCACATTCGGCAGAGGCAGCACACTATTATCGCTTTCATCACCTAAATCTTCGAGTGCCGTTTTAATAGTTTCCGAACATTTTGCAATTTCGATGTCTGTATCAAAAATTTCCTTATCGGACGATTCCAAGCGTATGATTGGCATTCTGCAAGAGCTTTGTGTGGCAGATACCAATGCTTACTGAATATTTATAAATATATATTTTTGTGGAACTTACAAGAATATTATATGCTGCTACAAAGGTCGATAAATTTATCAAACAGAAACGGATTGACAACGGTTTCAAGGCACCATACAAAAATCTAAAAATAAATGCTTTGTTATTTGTTTTTATATTTATACAGCATTATGAAATTATGAGATTATAATACTGCTAAGCACACAACATATATCAGTTTGCATATGTGTATGAAAATAAGGTTTTAAAAATATTGTATTACTCTTTATTATGACAATCAATTATTAATTTATTTTCTCGTTCTTCTTCCAAACTGTTTGCTATCTGCTTTGCCGGGCAACTAGTGTGACCATACCTAAATATACAAAATATGATTCCCAAATTAAATACCATAGCTTAATGCAATATATGTACATATATTTAAATATACTAAATTTGGAGTCAATCGTTCTAATAAATCAGTGACAATAAGTTAACATATGTACAAGAATTTGGAATGCATGCGACTGATGTATAGTCAGTGCAAGAAACTTAACAAAAATCCCAGAGTCTTTGACAATATCAAAACTATTGTATCCGCAACTAGGGTTATGCCCTGGAACAACATATCCAACAAATCTTCCTGATCGTATGAGCGCAGCAACCGAAACAGGAACAGTGCCAACATACAGAAGACGAGGGGCCAGATGAGCGAGAGAATGCAGCGTGCCGCCCAGACCACCACATACCAAGTGACGAGGAAGAGTAATAAATAAGCGATTAGTGTTCCCATGTCCGAAGGAATGCCGGCATTCTTCACCGCATATTCGTAGAGAACGATTAGAAAAGGCGAGTCCCGCCAGTCCTCGGCGGTATCTTTCCAGTTTTCTTCCATTTTTACTATTTTTGTTTGAATAAGGCAAAAACTAATACAAGGCAAACTCTGTTAACTTTTAACTACTTTGTGTATAAAAAAACAAAATCAGTGATCACTGATCAACTAATAAACCCTTAAGAGCTGTGGCCAGATGTTTTTAAAATACCAAATCTAATTTTACCAAAGCTCAATCATATGGTCAGTGGCTCAATTAATACCAATTTCTTCATCGTTATGTTATCGGGAGCAGTTATCGGGAAAAGCTTTCGCGCAATTTTTATTTTCTTTTCAATTTAAAGTTTTCAATGAATCTTACTAATACGCTACCAGTCACTGTGTCCCTCAACGCTAATCAGCATTTAAAGGGGATTAACCTGCTGGCAAACGTTGATTTGCAAGCTCTAAACTACATGTAGTACGTGTGTGCATTGAACTTGATGTAAGCAATTCCCTGTGATACAGTCAATGTCCCGACTAAAAATAGAACGCTAACTGATGCTGAGAACGGTAAGCAATTTCCTTTTCCTTTGAACCGATGTTAGGTGGCTGGTTCAATGTACTGCACCTGTCCTACGTTTTGTTCGCTCGAAGACGAAGCGAATCGAAATCGCATTTTAATGACTGAAATCGGGCACATAACAATGCCACACAGCTCCGATGCTCCGAAAATGCAATAAATTGGCCAATTTCGTGTTGATAAAAGTCGAAAGCAAATACCAGCAGGGACACCGACGAACGATGTTTAACAAATTGGATGCTTTAACCGCAATATGTGCAAAACGTTTTTGCTTTGTTCTGCAATAATTCAGTGGCAACAAATTATGGCTGTTAATAACAATATCGATATCGAGTAGGTTATTATTTGTGAGTGGGTAAACAACATCGATCTTATTTGTATATATGTATATGTAATTCGATAAGTAGAATACTAGTTTGTTTATTTTTAAGGTTTTCAAAAAGTGGGCTTAATATAATAACATTATAAATTACTCGTTTTTGGGGGAGTTCCCGTACTAAGTATTTAAATTCTCCATGAATTCATTCCATGTGCATTAAGATGTAATAAGTTAAGTTAAGCCGAAGGCCCCTGTGCTTCATTATTCATTCAATAGTTTTAATTTGATATTAATTCTATTGTCTACTAAATAAATAATTAAATAATATAAACTCGTTCAGACTGCCGATGCCACAAGATAAGTCATAATCAACTACTCAACAATAATTCTGTCTTTTGGTTCGATTGGATAAATCGCATAAGTATCTTAAATCATATCATACAATACATCTGGCTCTTATGCAGCGCATGTACTTACGATGCAACTGTTTAATCGAAAGTTATGGCATGTGTTATGCTTCTATGTATATTCACTATGCATATTTTGAGCCGGCAACAGGTGTGCCATAACGGTTCAATCAAGTATACCTCCTGCAGATGCAGAAATATAACATAATTTTAAAGCGATTGTTATTTAAATATAGTGGAATTTGAGGTTGGCGGAAAGGCCAAAGCGAAAAATATGGAATCAGCATTGTCAAAAATATACTGTGTACAGAATATTAAATGAAAGGAAGCGGAAATGTTGAGGCAAAAAGTCGAGCATGCAACAGGAAGCTACTCAAACACATACAAACAAAAACACGAACACACAAATACACAAATAGATGGTGACACTTTTATGAACATAGCAACAAGAGTTAGATATAATAACAGGCACAACAACTGCAATAATAACAAGAAAAGCAACAAGAACAGCTTGTCGTTGTTTCTGGTCTGTTTTATAAGCAAATAAAGGCGTGACACAGTTCTTTCAATTTCATGCACACACAGAGGCACAATTGCAGTGAAACACATGGTCGTATCTTATTTATAGTCCTGTTGCTGTTGCTGTTGCTGTTGCTGTTACTGTGGCTCCTGTCAAAGTCAGTCAACCAGCCCAAACAGTCACTTGTACCGCCATTGCAACAAAGTCGCATACATGGATGGCCTTTGCCATTGCCTTTGTGTCCTGTTTGCAGTTGTGTTCTGCACACCAAACAGCATAGGTAAAAACCTGCTGTGGCATGAAAATGCCATAGTTATGTGATTGTTTTTAGGAACAATGTAAACTGAGTGCCACTTGATAAATGAATTCTTGTGGCTGCTGACAACTAAATACACAAAAACCAGCTCAACTGGCAGCTGGCAGTTGGCAGTGCAATTTACTTCGAATATCTAGTGAATTTAATAGTTTTGGGCATTTCAATTGAAATAGTATGTGCTCTTAGTTGAATGAAGTGAAGCTCTCGGCCAAATAGCTCTATACATTTTTAATGAAAATTAATGAGGGCTTTTAGAATTCATTATAATTTGTTTGGCTTTGCATTCCATTTATTGGCATTCACATAAACGACTTAAGCTTTGCTAAGGCTGCACTAATTGTGTTGAATAATAGACATAAATTTAAATTGATTGCATAAAATTTTGTGTCAGGCATTTGAAATCTTTGACTTGTATACCCTGGACACATTGCATATTTAAATTGGGTTTCTAATGTTTTTGTGATGATATGACTAATATTGTTGTAGCATAACAATGCAAATATATATTAATTGTAAACTACCAAAGCTAAGAATTTTTGGAATTTAATAAATTTAAATATACATATACAGTGAATTCCCAACTACTGCAGTTTATTTTATTTTTAGTATCATTTTACAAATATATTTTATTTTTATACATGGTAAATAAGCAGTAAATTCTGGACTGTTGTAGTTTACTTTTTTTTTTTTGTTTTATATTATTCTAATGTTGTTTATAAGTATGTGACCACAAGTACATATAGATTACCTAGAAGACCGCCAGGATAAGCTTCCCTTCCTCATCATTCAACTAATCCTCCGTCTGCTTGTCTTCTGCTGAGCTTCTTAAATACTTTTAATGAAAGCATGAAGTCCTGCGAATCTATTCGAGTTCCTGAGAAACGCATAGCATGTTAATACGGGGATTGTCTGAATAATTTCCGACCTGTCACAAAAAACAAAAAAAAATAAATGCGCAAATTTGTTTGAATAGAAATATCCCACACACTCAAAATTTGTAAATAAAATAATAAAATAAATAAATAATCGGAATTCCTGAGAATTTACATATATAAATATGTATGTACACATGCACTAAAGGCACAGCTAAGCTTAATATGACAAATATGGAAGTATAGAAAGTTCTCGTTTATTTATTGTATGTGCACCAATTTATTTTACCTTAAATTTAAATTTCATTATGTGAGTTTCACAGTTTTTTCTCCATTACGTTTCTTGTGACTAGTTTAGCTGGAATTGTCTTAACATATATTCGCTTGCTAGTTTATCTT